GATACTGTGGTGGGAATGTATGACAGTATGTGCCCAGGCTGTCAAACTATTTCACATACAAAATAAAATGTCCTCCTCTTCCTTGTCTCACTGTGAGATTAACTTTCCACCTGGAGACTCAGAGAAGCGTAGCAATTTACTACAGATGATATCACATTAAGCGTTATAAAGCAGAAGTGCTTGTTTCCCTATCATTTCCATTGCTCCTGCAGAATACTGGGAAATGTAATTTAGGGCAGGGCCTTTGGAATTGTCAGCTAGAGAGGTCCTCGGCTTCCCTAAACTATGTTTCCCAGAATTCTGCAGGAACAAACTGGGTGATAGGGACACGAGTGCCTCCGTTTTATAATACTAATGTGATATCATCCTGATACTTCAGCTAGTGCTCTGAGACCTGGTAACCCTACTGTTGAAGAAGATTCTCCATTTGTAACATCAAGTAGAATGCCTCAAATCCTATTTCCACTATCTGGAAAGAATGAGGGGAACATTTCAGTATTTTCTCTTTGCTGCTCCCTTTCATTTCAATGGAGCATTGACTGTGTGGAAGAAAACTTCCTAATGGTTGTTCTGATGGTGAATGGCATCCAGTGGCACCCAAAACCTAAGTATTGGATCAATTTGTTTGAAAAGATGCACAGCTATCCCTACAAGGATGCCTTTGGAATGGCGAAAAAGTCTTAGGAGTTTCTCATGTGTACTATTGGCGGTGATCATGGATTCCTCCATATTTGCAAACTACCTGAATGAAAATGCATACTTACATTTTGAAGACACCCAAATCAATTTGCTCTTTGGGTTTGTAGTTCATAATACAGGTTGAATATTCCTTATCTGGGATTTTGAAATCTGATGTACTCCAAAATCATTCACATGGTGGCTGAGATAATGACATCTTTGATTTCATACACCAACTTTCATGCACAAAATTTTAAAATGTTGCATTTAAAATTACCTTAAATACTGAATTTAAAAATGACCTATCGCATGAAGGTAGTAAACTGGGAAAGAAGCAAGGATTGTCACCTATCACATGACACATGACTCCCTGTGATAAAGTTGTCCACTGTTGTTGATGAGCAAAACCTATGAGCAGTTCGTGATCACGCCAGTGCCACAACCTACTTGGTGCAATGATCTCAGCTATTTCCCTGCAGGGATACTGGTGACATGAGAGGTCAGGGTTGTCCTCTTCTCCTACTCTGTCCTAGCAGCAAATGATACTGATGGTTACTATGCAGGTAAATTGCTGCTATCCTTGATCATGTAGATAGTGCAGGATAGCAGCATCATGCAATGAAGTCCCACGTGTTATACGTTTTATATGAAATATGATTTTTTTTTAGTTTAGACTTGGCTCCCATCTCCAAGAGATTTCATTATGCAAATATGGGTATTTTAAAATCTGAAAACATCCAAAATCCAAAACACTCTGGTCCTAAGTATTTCGGATAAGGAATACTCAACCTGTAGAGTGTTGTTCTTTATCCAAGTGCAATGAAGTTAAATCCAACCTGGGCAATAAAAGATCTTAACATTTTCTGCTGCTTTATAAATAGTCCGTGCTTTTCCCACTGTACTCCCACTCTGGCTCCGTCTTCCAGAGAATATATCACATTGACTCTTGATATATATCTCTTCTTGTCTTAGCATGTCAGGATGTCATTGAGTTAGTACTACTAAGAAATAACTGGGCTGTGGTGCAGGTAGTTAGTAGCCAGCTGCATTCAATCATTACTGACTGAGAGGTCATGAGATCGAAGCCAGCCCTGGTCAGATTAAGCTCCCAACCATTAATAGTCTAGCTTGCTGTTGACCTATGCAGCCCAAAAGACAGTTGCATCTGTCAAGTAGTAAATTTAGGTATTGATTTATGCGGGGAGGCTAATTTAACTAATTTATGACGCCATAAAAACATCTTTCAGCAGTGTGCAGAAGAATGAGGAAGTACTCCATCAAAGGACTCGGTGTCACAAGTGGACGGTGAAGTGGCATCTCCCCCTGTGGCTGGAATTGAGCATACCCTCATGAAGCTGGAAAAGCTGGAATGTTAAATGCCTCTGTGTCTGCCTATATATGTTTATATCCAAATGGCATTGAATGTTTGCCATGTATATGTGCATTGTAATCCGCCCCAAGTCTCCTGCGAGGTCAGAAGGGTGGAATATAAATACTGTAAATAAATAAATAAATAAATAAATAATCTAACATGAAGGTTTTAAGTGGCAGTGGGAAGGAGGGATATGAGGGAAATAATGCCACAGAAGTGACAAAGAGGGAACTTTTCTGGACAAGGCAGCTCATTGGATTACTGGGCAGTGAATGAGTAGAGGTCAAAGGATTGGTGAATATCAGGAAAATTGTTGTTTTCTCCTAGGAACTTTGAACAGATTCAAAGCAGCAGAAATCTCTTCTGTTTTCTGCCCAATTTTGTGTGAACTGTGATTTCTGCAGCTAAGCAAAGGCTACTTCTAATGTGAACAGCCTACAACTTTGGTGGGAATGGGAAGCAATTTTTCACCGCTCATTATCTTCCAGTGGCTACACCAGGCCAGGATGTGGCAAAAATAAAAATAAAGCCATAATTGCCCAGGTACCCATCTCCATTCAGCCCAGTTGGGCTGAATTGTCCGGTGTAACCTGTGCTACATACACCAAAGCTACTGATGTTGGATGCTTCTAGGAGGGGAGCCCCAAAGACACTGAAAATCCCCCTCAGGTTATAAGACTTGCACATAGAGGACACCTTTTTTCCTCCATTCCTTCAGCATTAGGGGCTGCTGCCATGATTGTTTCACATCGTTACTGTTAGGGACTCAATGCAATACTTTTCAACACATTATAGAAGCTGAATAAGCAGATGATTTTTATTGCTTTCATCGATCTCGGGGAAGGATAAAGGACAGTCTGACCATTGTCTCCTGACCACTTGGAAGTTTTTCTCAGCTGCTTTCTTGTTCTGCAGTCTTAACTATCAAATTATCCTAAAGGCCCACAACAAAACTTGTTTGGATTATAACTTCCAGAATCCCCCAACGAACATGATCACAACACCTAGAATCAAAGGTTCAATTGAATTACAAGCAGCTTCAGACTTACCAGTAGCTATTTTTTCTGTAGGAAAAACTCTGATGAGAGACAACTTTCACTCTCTGTCCTGCATTCTGAGGCTTGGAAAAGTTATCATTTTGACTACAATTCCCAGATAGAGGATTCTGAGTGCTGCAGTCCAAAAGGTAACTTTGCTTGGCTGTGGTCCAGAAACTCATTTTTTTTCTGTGCTACAAGGAAACTGCTTTTCCCCAACCACCTAACAGGTGGAATACACTCAATCATCTGATCCACTGTTATGGACTTCGCTAAAGAGTGTCCCCTTCTTCTTCGAGAATAGTGTCCCCACATGAATTAAAATGAACGACTTTTCTTTTGCCAGTGTTTTAAAATTCTTTTTATTTGAAAAAAGTAAATGGAAAAATATAGTGAAATGAAACCAGAGCTTCCTCTGTATGTGTTTCCCAAAGGGCAATAGATTTAATACCATGAGATGGGAGCAGGACAAGATTCAAGCATACATAATAAATACAGTCAAACAGTATTAGAAGACGATTATGCCAATAGGGGCGACCTTGGCTTTCTTCTATGAGAGAAGACCACAATATTGCCAATTCAGACCTGCCACATTGGCTAGATACTTATCACTGTAAAATCTGCAGTTCTACAGACAGTGGACATGGAACCACTAAAAGCTAATTCAATAATAAATTTCTTTCGTGCTGTAATGAACAACTGCCATATATGATTGCAATGCTCATGTGTAAATGAACTCCAATGATGAGTTAAGAGGACGATCCAACATTCTTTCTGCTGAAATGGTGGTGAAGGGGAATGCACCACTTCATGAAAGGTAAAATCTTCCCTTTAATGTTGCAGTTGTGGGCATGAGAATCTTCCAAACAGATATATAGACAAAATTAATATGACTGTGGCATGAAACAATCTTAAACTAATTTCAGATCAGGTTTCCAAGGAAACTTAGAATGTGGCCATATGCCACTCTGTTTGTGTTAAGGTAAGAGATGAGTATTGGGGTAAGGTATGAAATAGTATGCCATTTTAGTTTAATTTATATTGATACATATAAACCATAAGGCCACAAAGGACAGTTACCATTGTTTGCTTCTGGAGTCCATAAGATTGAGAAAGTCATTAATTCTTCATCTCACAGGCTATACTTGAAAATCTTCTTCAAAAATATCCAGTGCCATAAACATTTGTGAGGGGAGTGGTTGCGGGTGGAAATGTACGAGCATGAAAAAGTACAATATTCAAAATAAGACTCCTATTTGGGCTATGCTCTCGCCTCCTTATGTTGAAAACATGAATGAGAATTTTCCTTTAGCTCCATATCTTTTTTGGCAAAGTTTTGAAAAGTAGTTACTTTACCTGGGGTTTTGAGATATTACTTTTTGTTCTACATTTCTCAGAATTCTGTTGCTATGCGGCCTGAAGGATACTGGGAATTGTTGCCATTTGATAGAAATTCTTCCAGGTTCTAGCTGTTCTCCTTCCCCCCCCCCCCCCAGATTTGCATCCCTCCATTGCAAAACTGTAGCCCCGGTGGCGCAATGGATTAAACCCATGTGCCGGCAGGACTGCTGATTGAAAGGTTGGCCATTTGAAACCGGGGAGCAGGATGAGCTCCCGTCAGTCAGCTCCATGTCCTCATGTGGGGACATGAGAAAAAGCCTCCCACAGGATTGTAAAACATCCAGGTGTCCCCTGGGCAATGTCCTTGCAGATGGCCAATTCTCTCACACCAGAAGCGACTTGCAGTTTCTCAAGTCACTCCTGACACACACAAAAATTACAAAACAACCTTACTGCAGCAAACAGCCTCTGCAATCTGTTCTTGGTGACAGGGAGATGGATAAAAATAATACAAGGTCAGAACTAAAGCTGAAAGTTCCAGTCCTGCACAGAGTTACACTTCTCACCATGAATTGTGGCCAAAACCTCTTTTATTTCATGTGGAATAGTTTTTTTTAATTCACTGAGAGTTTTTTCCTAACTCATTCAACATTCATCCTGACATTATTAAATAAATTATACATGCACATTACGCTACAAAACCAGCTCCAACAGGAACTGATTAGGAAAGGTATGTCATTTTTTGAACTCTTTAGGAAAAAATATATAAAATAAATAGATACACACATAAAAGAAAGGTTGAGTTCTTCACATCTCCATAGGTTATTTAAAGGCAGGTCACAGATTTTTGCTTACACATGATGGAATTACCAAGGCCTCCTTAGGAAAAGGCAATGTATTCTAGAGAGGAAATTCAGACCAGCATTCCATGATAATATTGCAGATGTTGGTCCTACTAAGGTTCACATCAGGGCATGGAAAAGCTACTTTTTGGACTCCCAGCCAGCATACCAACTGGGAATTATGGGAGTTGCATCCCAAAACAGTAACTTTCCCAGGCTTTGGCCTCAACCACTTTAGGCTTGAGTAATCTCTGCACTTTTAGGTTCAGGCTCTCAGGGTCAAGAGTAGATGCTTAGATCTGAAAAAAAGCAACTTTGCCTGCAATTGTTCCATATAGATCATATACCTCTAAAACCAAAAATGTTTTACATAACAAAAAGAAAAACTAAATGTGGGTTACAGAAAGCAGAGAAAGAGGTCATTGCTCTGTCCAATGCATAAGGTTACTTAGCCTTTAAAAAAGGCAGAATCTCAGCATATAGCATTTCTTCTATTGTAGTTTTGCAGATTGGAGCTGAATTTGTCAATATTCTTTCTCCACCATTTCTCTGACCTCAATGTAAGTGGACAAAATCTAGATTCTAGGATCTTACACTGCAGACATTTACAGGAGATTAAAGTGTCATAAAGTGCATATGCTCAGGGGAGTTCAGCACCTCCTTTTCTTTTCTGTCTCTTTGGGCCCTTCCACACAGCCCTATATCCCAGAATATCAAGGCAGAAAATCCCACTTATCCAAGTGTGGACTCAGATAACTCAGTTCAAAGCAAATATTGTGGGATTTTCTGCCTTGATATTCTGGGATATAGGGCTGTGTGGAAGGGCCCATAAACAGTTCAGAATCTAACCAGGGTTCTCTTCAATGAATAATTGAACAATCATGGTACTTCTAAATCTAAATGCATGGTACTATGAGACAGTAAAATCTGACTTGGTGTTGTGTAACCTCAATTTGCAGGTGAAAAACTTTTTAAAAAACCAACTCATATTTTTTTAAAAAGAAAGAAAAACCTACCCTGTATGTAAGTTAACTAGCAAGGTTTGAAGGAAAACTTCTTTCAGTCCTTCTAGCTGCTATGCCTGGTTTGTAGTTGCATGAATGTTGTTTTTAGCAACACTTAGCAATAAAAATGGAACCCTAGAAATACACACATGCAGCAAAACAAATCTGCCCACTCCATCACCACAAGGCTCTTGTCAATTCAGTCTGCTACAGAAGAAGATCAAGGTTGTGTTGTACTGAAACACACAATTCGCTTCTACCTTACAACAGCCATGAGTTCAACTTACAATCAAGTCTCTCTTTTCCGAGAAAAGAGTAATTATTCTTTTGCAAATACCACTGTACCATCAAGCATTAATTCCTTGTCTAGATAATTTCATTTACAGCCTGTGAAATGTGCCACATTCTGGCAGCTCTACGATAAAATGTTGAGAACAATCAGTAGTGTGAATGGATGCCTTCATTTTTAAAAAAACCTGTATATGAGGAACCTTAAGAGCTGAAAGTTATCAGTGGCTTTCTGTTTTGTGAAAAAAAACCACTCCATTGATTGATTTGTTCATACACTTCATGAGCTCTATTTGAAACATTACTCCAGTACACAGGGATGGAAAAATAAATAATAGCCATGTTCTCTGCTAGTATAATTTGATGAGACATTGCCATATTCAAATACAAATTCTAATTTTGGATGATTCAGACATTTTAAAGACCTCTTGCCTTCCATTTTCTCTAAAGACACAGGAGATGTGAAGGCAGTTATATTCTATGTTTATCCAACATTTGATTCAAAACAAATAAACAGACTTATGAAATCAATAAATTAACACGCACACGCACACGATTGTAAGATTCGCAGATGCAATGTCTGAATTTCTTATAAGTCCCTGAAGATCTCAAACAAAAAGAAGAAAGAAAACAAAGCCAACCAAAAATGTTGAGTTTGCACCAGAATGGTAGATGCTTTCTTCTTACATCCGGCCTCCATTGGACATTAATTGTCAAAGCAACCAGTGAGGTTGACAAACCCATCGCAATAAGATGCCCAGCTTTCCTACTGGCATATCAACCGTTCTGAAGGAATGGAAGGTTAAGTATCCACGTTACTTGGATAAGCTGGTTTGATATGTACATTCTACTCCTTGAACTCTGTGCATGATCCTTAGGGGCAGAGTTGACTAAAAAAGAAGGAATAAAAGTTCACTTTCAGTGTTGAACCTTTGACTTCCAATTTTATCTGGAAATACATTTTTCACCATCCTTCTCAGGCAGAAAAATACACCATCCAAGCAACCGCTATAAAAGCAGCCTCATTTCTCTGCATTCAAAGCTTGGCCATCTGCCCTTACTTTGCCTACTTTAAAGAATGACAAAGATGTAAGAGATTGAGGCTTTTTAAACACAGGCTTCCTTTGCCTTTCTTGATATCCTTTGCAAAGGCATCCCAGAAGATTGAGTTATTTGACCTCTCACAAGCACTATGCAACTCACACTCCCTATGGCTGAGATGACATTGGAGGTGAATAAAGGCTGATGTGCAGGAGAAGCAAGTGAGGATTACATACTCCAAGAGGACAAAAAGAAATAAAATGAGACTCCTCATTTTCTCTTCATCTCTGAAAGAAAGAAAAAACAGACACCCTTCAGCCCTGGTGCATGGTTGTCAGAGGAATCAGCTGGGGAGTAACACATGTTCCAGGAGATAGGTGATGGAGTCCCAGTGTTTCCAGATAAGGAAGAGAAAAAGCACCAGAAGGGTGGTGCTCAGGAGACGCATGCGGGTCTTCATTAGAGGTGTGATGAAATTGGCAATGGTGGAGACAAAGACCAGGAGCACAGCCATCAAGGCCAAAATGACGTTGATGAATTTGCCCAGCAGAGCCCGGGCATTGGCATTTTCCACCCCTTCCAGCTGCACCACCTGTTGCTGCTGCTGCTGAAGTTCCAACTTGGTGACCCGAGTCAGGCAGGATTCCACAGCCTCCTGCAGCAGAAACAGAAAGAGGTTAAAGGTAACTCAAGTATGGGCTGAATACCAGAGTTCAATGCTGGAATGCATCTTCTGAATGCAAATACCATACTGAGGGCACTGAGTTCCAATGTGTAAAATAGCAAGAAAGGTAAGAGAAGATATAAAAAAAATATCTCTCTGAAACCCCAGAAAGGAATTCTATAAATGAAGGTTGAATTAACAAGGCTAAATGACCAAGTCCAACTTATTACAATGCTGCTTTCTATATCCTTGTGATGGTTATAGGTACAGCTCTCTTGTCCAAAGACTGCCAGCTTTCTGCTGTTTAAGCACAAATAGAAGGAAAACAAGCTAAGGATGCTGCAAAACTGTGACACCCACTTTATGTTCACTCTAATGTCTCCCAAAGGGGTCAAGAATGGTCCTCTCCCTTATCTCATCAGTGACCTCCACAAATGAAGAAAATAGAAGATGCAACACCAAATTAAGCAATATGACTTTTTCCAAATTTCTTATCAAATGTGATCTCTTCATGTTTGTGTTAATACCTAGTAAAAACACCAGGAATTGTAAAATTACTGAAATGAAGGAAATAGTTGTCAATCTAGACAGGAATCCATGTGTATATATGATGTTTCTGTAGAAAGTCCATATTGTGCGTGTGTTTGTGTGTATCTGCATCCAAGTGAAACTATAAAGGGGCTGCCTTTTACACCATGCAAATTCATCTCCTTCATCACAGTCACTGAAACTGATGTGCTGTACATTAAAAACTAAAGGAGGTTTACAGAGTGATAGAATCACAGAGTTGGAAGGGGCATCATGGGCCATGTAGTCCACCCCCCTGCTCAATGCAGGAACTCCAGCCAAAGTCTCCCCAACAGGTAACTGTCTTTTTGAAGACCTTAAGAGGAGGAGGCCCTAATTGCCCGTCTAGACAAATAGTTCTATGGCTGAATGCTCTTATTGTCAAGAGGTTCCTTTTTACATTCAATCAAAATCTACTCCTCTATAACTTAAAACCATTAGACCTGGTTCTACCCTCTGAAGCAGCAGAGAACCAGTCTGCTCACTTATCTTTGTGATAGGCCTTGAACTATTTAAGACTGCAGTCATGTCACCCATCAATATGCTCTTCACTTCTTCTGCACCAGAGCAATCCCACCACTCTCATGAAAACAATACATAAAGGGTGTGATATGGGAACACAACTTTAATGGAAAGAAAAAATGACAGACACCTTGCAGGATGGATCACACAGATGTTAGTAGTGTTGGATTTGCTAAAAGTTAGCCTGTGCCATCATGCAGCCCTTATGTACAGCTAAACGATAAGGATATTTTGCAATAATCAAATAGCTCTAACTTCAGAGAAGATTAATGAAAGCTCCATTAAAGTATTGGTGACTTCTTCAAAACATTTGATACAAGTATAAGCACCAACTGTGTCATCTATTTAAGTATTTTGTCTTCTTTTCTATTCTCATTTCTTAGCATCAAATTCAGTCTCTATAATGTTTCTCACATTGCCACACGGGGGCAGAAGAAGACTTCATAGACCGGGAATACCTTTGTCTTTCAGAATTAATGCATGCACTATATACATGAAAGTGGATATTTCTTACAATAGTCCAATGGTGGAGTACATTGAGGGCCAGATGCTGGATGGGACAATAAACAAAAACTCAGTAGACCTAATTTATTTCCAGCATTCTCTGAGTTGCTAAATAAACCGGATCAGAACTGCAACACTCTTTGATTCAGCTTTTGCTATAGTATTATGAAATCTAATGAACCCAAACTTATTTCAGTAAAAAAATGTTACTGTTATCCTCATGATTGATGGTCAAACAGTCAGTTTCAGGAGAGACTATAAAAACAAGAAATATTATGGCATTTTACAGACTGAGATTTTATTTGACACAAATTTTCAACCGACTTCATCAGATGCACCATATTACTGTGGCATTTTTTTTTTGGTTCTTGTTGCAGTTGATGAAAGCATTCCTACAAAAACTCCAAGAAACCCATGGACCTATTCTGGCCTGCTAGGATTCCCGATCCAGACTGTGGAACTTCCTTCCGCAACATCCTGCCCCTTCGGAATGCCTCATAACCACTAAGCTTGGGCCTAGATCAGTTTGACTGAAAGTGATTTGCAATATTCAGTGGTCCATTTTGTGTAATCTCCAAAAACAGAATGGAGAGGAGAAAACCAAAAAAGCTAAGCAAAATGGATCAAGAGAGCTGGATTTATCGGCTACTGGAGAGGATGGAGTTAAGTCTGTAATATATCTGAGGCAGGAGTCTACCACAGGATTCCTGGAGAAGATGGGATTACCTGTAGTGTCTTTTCTCCCTCCCCGGGAACAAAGTGTCCATTTCTTTTGGAAAGGTTCCCCAGGCTCCTCCTCCAGAGAGGGCCCTGCTGGGAACTTGGTTTCCCAGGAGCACTCGCTTGGAGCTGGCATTGAAAAGTCTATGGGGTCTTCTCAGAGCATGATGGGAGTTGGTTGTATCCATGCTCTGATTGGCTGAGAATGGACACAACAGGTGACTACAATTCCCAGAACCCTCTTTCAGTTTGTCTTATTTTAAAAATGTTATGATAAAAACCTAAAATAATTCTAAAAAATCGGTAGATTGGTGAATTTTTCTGAAACTTGGCAGACCTGCAGTTATAAATGGGGTCTAAAACTGAGGTAGCTTTCATGCAGATAGGCCTTAAAACGACTGAGGACTAAGCCTTTAAATTTTCCCATTGTAGCCAATAGGCCGAATCTTTGCCGAATGAAAACGGCAACACTCCTCCCAATTTGTGTAACTTCCTGGTAAACAGAACGAGGGGTTAGAAAATGGACCCCAAAACAGCATGCCTTTTGAACAAATTGCAAAAGCCTAAAGACCACATCTTCACTATTTTGCCTCTCTCTCTCCTAAGCAGAAAAGGCAAGAGGACAGTGCTGACCTAGCTGACCATATTTCCCTGTAGAGGGAGGAGCAAAGTTGCTGAGTTGCAGCCTTGAGGATCAGTTCATCTCAAAGGAGATTTTACACTACATTGTATCTCGTTTCCTGGCTTGAATGTCATCTTTAAGTTTGAGTTCAAGTTAATCTGACTTGGGACCAATCCCTGTTGTTGAAAGGCAAAGGAAGCCTGTGTTAAAATAGCCTCCATCTTTTACATCTTTGTCATTCTTTAAAGGAAAGAGCATTAAAATGTGCATGGCGTTAACAGAAATGTAAGCAGCTGCCTTATATTGATCCATCTGGTTTACCATTATCTACAAATTCAGTACTGTCCAGTATTAAGGTACCCTCAGAACACATACTCTGTATATAGTGGGTCCCACGTACCATCTCTGACATGTTCAAGTTATGAAAAGCCTATCTGACACTCAGAACCTCTACTACTTTGTTCAGTATGGGGACAGAAAGGAAAAGATCATAGAATCAGAGAGTTGGAAGAGACTTCATAGGCCATCCATTCCAACCTCCTGCCAAGAAACAGGAAGACTTAAGCAGGAAGAAATAACTGAAGACTGGTGCTCTAAAGCAGAGCTTTCCAAACATTTCATGTTAGTGACACACTTTTTAGTCATGCATCATTTAGAGACACAATAATTTAGTTTTACTAGCAACCAGAGGTTAAACTAAGCCCTTATAAAAGATACAAACACATACATAAAATGTAATAACAAAATGTATGATGTCACAGCATATATCATGAAAACCTTCCATTTATATTTTTAAAATGTGTGATTTATTGTTTATTTCACATAGACACTGAGGTTTCTTCTTACGTTTGCACACCTACACACTGCAGCCGACATACTCTGCTCTAAAGGAAGGATAAAAACATTTACCTCCTCTTCCCAATATTTTGAATCATGAGACGTGCAATCCAAAAAAACCCCTCACAACTGATCTAAAGCTATATTCCACAGAGGAGCTCTTATTTTCAGCCTCATTTCTCTTCTCCTGGGACAAAGATCATCTTTTATCTCCCTCTTTTCTCAGCCACCAAAATCATCCACACTCAGGTCATCATCTAGAGGCTTACAACATAGTTCAAGTGCTAAAAGCCTGGTTCTTAGTACAGCCCTGTATAAAATGTGCATGTCAGTTATCCTGAGCTCTGTTCCAGTCTGGCAGAAAGCCTTGAGTTTGAGAGAAAGGTGTAATATAAATAAAGTGATGTATAGATAAATGGATGGGAGAGTAGTTATATCAAATTAATGAATAACAGATGGGTGAATGTCTGGGAGCTCTCAGATCAACTACTCAAGCATCCTATGTATTCTTCATACCTGAATGTCCCTGGCCCTCTCATAGGACTGGTAGGCCACCTTCTCCTCCATGCTGGCCAACTCCTGCTTTAGATTGGTCATCTCATTCTGGTGAAGCTCCGTTAGGTCATTCAGCTGCTCTTCGAGGCGTTCATATCTGTCCAGTAAGAAAGAGGGAGAAGACAAATACTAGGTGACAACTCTGAACTAGAGATGCTAATGAAGCCTAGTATTATCTGGGCTTGTAGTGCTAAGACACAAATGAGAGGCTAGCTCAGGGCTAACAATAACATAAAACAGAGCAAAGTAACTGCTTCAGTCAGCAGGTTTTGACAGTCAAAGCAGCCATCCTCAGCTCTTCATCTTTGTAGATGAATACTGCTCTGTATATGCTATGTGACCACTTCAAAACTAGGAGAATGTTTTCAGTCACCATTCTGAAAATAAGGTTTAAGGTTTAATATCCAATTCAGTTGCCTTCTATATCTGAAGTCCATCTTGTGACACAAATCAAAATTTGAGACAGAGAGAAATTCCTTCATTCCCCAACCTAACAGCCCACTGTTCTTCTGACATTTATCAACAAGAAACAGTGGAGCCAACATTTTCTCCAGCTTCTCTCATGAGCCCTTCCTGAGGGAGAAATTCTTGGAAACACATATTCCAGGGACTACCAAGTCTTTCAAATTATTTTGTGGAGGGAGAAGAAACACATCTCCCCTACCTCATGAACAGCTGCTAATGACGGTTAAATATAGAAGGGGAAGGGCTCAAGGGAGAGCTGAAGATAATATTTGGGGGATGGGATGGCTGGTATGGAGCAAGGCATGAGATGAGTGATTCCATAACTCTGAATGTTACTCTGAAAATCAACAGTTATTTCTGAGACAATATGACATGAACTGTTCTGACCAGCACTGGAAGTATTTCACATATCAATACAACTTTGCACTAGTTTTAAAAGCACATTTTTTTTCTCATTTGGGAGGATGCTCATGTTGAATTCCCTGGCCTCCTTGTTGTCAAAAGTTCAAAGCTAGTTGGCAAGGAATTATAGAGATTGAGAAAATATTAATGAAACCATCAGTGCAGAAGCTGGCTTCATCTCTAGCTTTGTTTGGAGCTGAATGATAACTTAAATGAGCAAACCGACAGGGTAAAAATCCTGGATAGTTAGTGTGTTTGTCTATATATAGGCAGTCCTCAAGATATGAACAAGATAGGTTCTGTAGGCTTGTTCGTAAGTCAAATTTGTTTGTAAGTCGGACCAGGAACATTTAAAAAGTGTAACTCTAAATGTGGTTTGCTGTAGAAACAAGGATTGGTGATACAGTTTCAATGGAGACAGCGCCATGATAACTCCTTCAGAAGTTAATTTCCCTTCTGAGGGGTAAAATTTCTCTCACTTTCTCATCCTTAACTATGAGTCATATGTAAGTCGGATGTTTGTAACTCTAAGACTGCCTATATTTTTACTGCACTTTTCAGCACAGACCAGCTAATAGCAGCTCACAGTATAACACATTCTTCTGACATAGTACAAATTCTAAGCTTTCCCTTTCAGAGTGAGAAAGCAGAAGTGGGAACAGATGGACTCAGGGCCTGGATGAAGACATAGTCGGGCCACTGGAAAAAATTGATGAATAAGAAGGTAACTTTTCTGTTTTAGAGCAGATTTATGGAGCGATACTGATAGGATGACTCTTGTGTTACTCAAATCCCAGACAAACATTATAATATAATCACACAAAACTGCAATAAAGGATCTCATGGCACCTTAAAAAGACTAACTCATTTTTTACATAAGCATTTGCAGACTAAAGCGCATTTCATCATATGAGTAAAGTGTTACTAGCACTTTACAGGGATGCATGTAACAGGCACATAGAAATTATAAACTGTACAGCTAAAAGGCTAGGAACTGCTAAAATGTCTGATGATACTTTATAAGACACAGTCTTCTGCTCATAGGCAAATGGGAACTTAAAAATAGCAGAAAAGAGGAACCGAATTCAGTAATTTCACCAATAGTTCAACGCTTTGTAACATTTTCTCTTTTAAATACCAATAAGAAAATAGCTTCAAGTCATCCAAGCCTTCAAAGAATCAAAGAATCAAAGAGTTGGAAGAGACCTCATGGGCCATCCAGTCCAACCCCCTGCCAAGAAGCAGGAATATTGCATTCAAATCACCCCTGACAGATGGCCATCCAGCCTCTGTTTAAAAGCTTCCAAAGAAGGAGCCTCCATCACACTCTGGGGCAGAGAGTTCCACTGCTGAATGGCTCTCACAGTCAGGAAGTTCTTCCTTATGTTCAGATGGAATCTCCTCTCTTGTAGTTTGAAGCCATTGTTCCGTGTCCAAGTCTCCAGGGAAGCAGAAAACAAGCTTGCTCCCTCCTCCCTTGGTAACCTCCTGGCTGGACTATTGTAATATGTTATATATGGGTCTGTTTTTAAAAATGGTTTAAAAACTTAAGCTGGTACTGAAGACTTACTTGGGTATTAAACACATTTGTAGGCTCTTTCATTATGAAAAATAAAATAAAAGCAGCTTAGCGAGAGGGAGAGATGACAAAAGATATGTTAAGAAACTAATCCCATTCATGTACCTATAGAAGTGAAACATCACATTATGATCAGGAAAAAGTCTCCTGGGGATGCCCTTACAATATGAGGGCAGATAAGCAATTACAGGGAAGCAGGCCTTCTTAGTGGTGGTCCAAAGCTGAATAATGCTTTCCCCAGAGAGATTCACTTAGCATCTACCTCATCATTTAAAAAGTGAGCATCTCATTAGCACCACGTGAATTTCTTCTTATTTCCCAAATTTTTACATGCAATTTTATTTACTCTTTTATTCTACTTACTTTTTATGTTATGAAGGTTTTGTAATGCTATTTGAAAGTTTATCTATACAAGACTGAGTGACAGGATGATACTAAAATGCTTTTACTAAACAGAGATGGCCAAATGCATTCTGTGGGGTTTATTTCCTAACCAGTGCCATTCAATTGCAGTTTAATCTTTCCCAGCCTCTCAAAGGGACAGGAGTGGGTGGATGGAAAAACAAATGAATACAGGAGGCACAGATCTCTTTTCTGAAGACTTTCTGTATCTTAGAACAAAGAGTTTTATTTCCATCCCTGCTGTCACTGATAAGTGATTTCCAGGCTATTTCAGGATATTTTCCAGCTTTCTGGTGGAAAAGATCTGCGAAAAATTCTAACACTAGTGAAAGATACAATGAGTATCCAGTATAAAGCTGAACACAGAGCTACTACATCACAGCACTTCATATAATTATATATGTAGAAAGAACTACATACAGTATATACATTTAAATGTAGGGATAAGAGGTTTGTGGTAGGAAGCCTCTTGGCCATATCTAGAGGTTCTCTACACCAGTGCTTCTAAATCTATTTGATATGGGGGAGTGTCAGGGTATTTTCCCTAGCATGTCAGACATTGACTTCAGATTTGTGCTTCTTGGCAATTATTACTTCTTTCTTTCCTGAAAACTCAGCATGGACCAACAGCTAAGAGTTCATGGACTACCCCAGGCATGGGCAAACTTTGGCCCTCCAGGTGTTTTGGACTTCAGCTCCCACAACTCCAACTTGTGGGTCTTGAAGTCTGAAACATCTGGAGGGGCGAAGTTTGCCCATGCCTGGACTAGACCAATTCATGGACCACCACTTTGATTAACATAACACTACACTAGACCAGGTTCACAGTCCCTATGCACAAATACATTATATATACATAGTCTCTCACTGAATACAGATTTCCAAGGGAGCAGCCTGTTAATACTGCTGCTACAGAAACAGCAAAGAATTTTATAGCACCTCACATACTTATTAATTTTTATTTGGCATAAGCTTTGATGGATGACTCTGCTTCATTAGATACAGGCACTCCTTGTGCACTTGGAGACCAGACAGCAGAGGTGGAGAATGTGTAGCTTTCCAAATGTTGTTTGACTAGAGCAGGGTTCCTCAAACTTTTTAAACAGAGGGCCAGGTCACAGTCCCTCAAACTGTTGGAGGGCTGGATTATAATTTGAAAAAAACAAGAATGAATTCCTATGCACACTCCACATATCTCATTTGTAGTACAAAAACAATATAATAATTAAAATGAACAATTTTAACAAATATAAACTTATTAGTATTTCAGAGGGAAGTGTGGGCTTGCTTTTGGTTGAAGAAATAGGATTGTTGTTGTTGTTGTTGCTGTTGTGTGTTTTCAAGTCATTTCAGATTTAGATTGACCCTGAGCAAGGGCTGGGTAAATGACCTTGGAGGGCCATATCCAGCCCCCGGGCCTTAGTTTGAGGACCCCTGGACTAGAGTGTCCATCATCCCTCACTATTGACTAGGTTGATAAGGCTGGTGATAACTGCAAGCCAGCAATAGATAGGGGGCCTTACATTTTGTACTCTGCCATACAGACTACTGAAAATAGGTTGGCTGGGGAAGGGCTGGCCCAACTACAATTCCCAATGTCCCTGATCACTGGATATGCTGTCTGAAGCTGATATGAGCCAGAGCCTAAAATATCTGGCACCAGGTAGAGAAAGGTGGCCCTAGATTAGCAAGCCAAAGGTGACAGGTGGTCAGGAGTGTAAGACACTGCTAAAAGATTTTAGATCTGCTGCTTTGAGAGAACAACACGAATTGCACCTCCATTGAGTAGTTCATCAGGTCTGGACTACGGGGGTTCCTTCTCATAAAATTCATCTACAGAACAATGCTTTCTCTGTGTATTTGCTGTAACTTTAACAAATCTCCAAATGAAAAGCATCCTTGAGACTCCACCTCAGAACTTCCTATTGATAGGATTTGGGTAAGAAGCTGAATTGAATATTTAGCCAAGAATGCATTTCCTCTTGTGACTTATAATAGGCAACAGATCATTTTCTTCTGAAAGAGAATATTCAGGCAGGAAATTCCAGCAGATTCTTCCAAAGCTTGTGATAGATAGGCAGGATGATTTAATTCACCAAGAAAAAAGACTCACTTGGATGACTGATTTAAATCTATTTCCTTGACAAGCATGCATACAGTTAAAATGTTATTATTTTGTGCCTTCAAGTCATTTTCAACTTAAGGCAACCCTAATCACAGGGTATTCCTCAACCTTTTACCAGTGTCTTCATCTATTGTTCTACAAAGCAGGAATGATATTGTAAGTACAGGCAGTCTCCAAGTTACCAACAATATAGGTTTGTTTTGTTTTTAAGTTGAAGTTGTGTATAAGTTGGAACAGGTAAATTTTTTAAGTGTAACTCTACACACACACATACCCATACCTACACCCACATGCACATAAATACGTTTTGGATAGCACAAGGAAGGTTTAACACCCCTATGGTGTTTGTTTTGCTGTCTGTGCCCTTGTTCAGAAGATTTCATCTCACCCTCTGCCCTGTAATAATTGTATTTTGAAAAAAATGACTTTTTGTGGAAACAAGGATTATTATAAAGCTTCAGTGGATATACCTTTTCCCCATGACAATTCTTTCAGAAGTGAATTTCCCTTCCTAGAAATAGATTTCTCTCACTTCCTATTGTCTCACCCCCATTCTTAACTATGAGTCATTTGTAAATCGAATGTTTGTAACTCGGGGACTGCCTGTAATGAAAGGACAGTGCATTCAGCTCCAAACTCTAAGACTAAAAGATATGACATGAAGACTGTCAGGTTCATATCTGAGAGAAACATAACCTCATTCAACAAATCTTACCTGTAGCGTTCCTCCTGCAAACACTGAGTCATGTACGTATAGTCTCGTTGCAGTTGGGCCTTGAGGTCTTCCATGGAGTCCTCAAGATGTGACTGAATGTCCTTAATATCTCTCAGTTCTTCTATGATGGTCTCAAAATTATAGTGGTGAGTGTCCAAAGTGTTAGACTTGGGACTGCCCAAGCCACCAGGACCCGCCCCAGAGTTGCTACCTGCTGCTGAGCCAGAAGTGGCACTAGAGCACTCATCATCACTACCGTATTTGGGGCTAGACACCAGGGTAGCACTGCCACTTAGAGTCCGTGAGGTCTCTTCAGGGTGCCCATCATCCAGAGTGTCCTTTAAGTGGGCAATATTATCGGCACTGCCAAATTTGTTGCGGATCAAGCTTGCAAACTCACGGGGCTTGGAAACCACAGCTGTGTGTGTGGCCTGAGAAAGGCCTGACAGTCCACCCTTGACGCCCTCCACTACACCACCTCCAAAACCACTGATACTGGAGCGGACATTGGCCCCTACATCTTTGAGACCCTGGTGCATGTCCCGGAAGACATCTTTGGGTTGTCGTGAGGGTCCATTTTGTTCAATTTCCTTTAGCTTCCTGTGGTAATGCTCAAGTTTCTTATGCAACTGAGCAATAGTCTGGGCTGACTTCTGATTCTTCTTCTCAAAGACCTGCTTGATACGTGAGGCTTGTTGCTTGTCAGCATTGTTAGCCAGTTTCAGGTACTCAGCCACATTGTCATCTCGGGCCTCCTGCTCAATCTTGATCTGCTCAGTAATTTTGAGGATCTTCTGGTGCAAATGGTCAATGGCAGCCTTTGTCCTCTGTGGATCTGGATTGCCATCTGGGACGTCAAGGCAAATATTGCCATCAGCGTCACCATGGCTTGTATTGGAAGGCAGGCTGAGTTGGCTCACATCCCCTTTATCCAACTGTTGAGGGACAAAGAGGAAGAGAAGAAAGAGAGCAGAAATGCATGAGTAAAAACAGATACTTTTTAACTTATATTTAATCTAAGAATAATGAACAAACAAAGATTGCACTGAAAGCAGAACTAGAGATGAACTACTAACCGCACTGATATAAGATGAGAATCAGAGAATAAGGCTAAAACGACTATCAGCAAATCAGCCTTTTACTGATCAGTAATTTGGTTTTCAAACACTTAATTGAGAAAATGTACTAAACTCTCAATACTGATGCATTTTTGAGATTCTCTGAAGGAGTACCATACATCAGAATATCATACATACATACATACATACATATATGTATATGTATGTATGTGTGTGTGTGTGTATACACACACACACACACACACACACACACACACATATACATATATATATATATTCCTTTTCATTTAGAAAATTGGAAACATAGTTGGAATTTTTTTCTTGTTTACTTTACTTCCTCCCTATACTTTGTTTCCCATCTTTCCCTTCTTTTTCCCCTTTTTAATAGTTATCTGAGTTTTTTTTCTTCTTTTGAAAACAAAATAAAAACTTAATTGCATCACAGAATTATGAAATGAAGCATAATCACTGTTACAATCACACAAACATGTCAAGCAGCTTAATAAACAAACAAGTTGAAAGCTAGCAGAATTTCAGAAGATTCAGGCTTAAAGAGGTGTATTAACTTTGACTTCAGTCACAATATTCTAATTCAATGGTCCATAATTCTAATGGGTAGAAGGAAATATTTAGCAGTTATATCATGAAATGTGAAAAGGTATGTCATCTTTAAATGCAAAATGTAGAAGTCTGCAAGGGTTTTGGTGGTAGAAATATCTGTGTTGGTAGAGTTTTGGAGCACTGGACTAGAAAACTTGAAAATCATGATTTTTCTGATTGAGCAAGTCACACTATCTCAACCCCAGAAGGACAGGCAAAACTCTTTGGCAAATTTTGTCAAGAATATTCCATGATAGGTCCACTTTGGGACCGATGTAAGTTATAAATGACTTGAAGGGAAATAACAACAAAGAGCAGTATTTGGATATTGCACCTTTAACCTAGTGGTTCTCAACATTCCTAATGCTCCAACCCCTTAATACAGTTTCTCATGTTGTGGTGACCTCCAACCATAAAATCATTTTTGTTGCTACTTCATAACTGTAGTTTTGCTACTGTTATGAATCGTAATGAAAATATCTGATATGCAGGATGTATTTTCATTCACTGGATAAATTGGGCACAAATACCCAATACGCCCAAATTTGAACACTGGTGAGATGAGGTGGGAGGTGGGGGTGGGATTGATTTTGTCATTTGGGAGTTGTAGTTGCTGGGATTTATAGTTCACCTACAGTCAAAGAGCATTCTGAATTCCACCAGCGATGGAATTGAACCAAATTTGGCCAACAGAACTCCCACGACCAAAAGAAAATACTGGAAGGGTTTGGTGGGCATTGACCTTGAGTTTTAGAGTTGGAATTCACCTATATCCAGAGAGCACTGTGGAGAAAAGCAATGATAGATATGGACCAAACTTGGCACAAATTCAATATGCCCAAATGTGAACACTGGTAGAGTTTGGGAAAAATAGACCTAGACATTTGGGAGTTGTACTTGCTGGGATGTATAGTTCCCCTAAAATGAAAGAGCATCCTGAACCTCACCAATGATAGAATTGGGCCAAACTTCCCATACAGAGACCCCCATGACCAACAGAAAATACTGGAGGGATTTGGGATGAATTGACATTGATTTAGGGGAGATGTAGTTCACGACTATGCCAAAGGCATTCCCAAGACCATCAGAAATATGGGTTTTCTGATAGTCTTTGGTGACCCCTCTGAAATCCCCTGGTGACCCCACCCCCCAGGGGTCCCAACCCCCCCAGGTTGAGAAACAATGCTTTAACCTGTTATTCCTCTACAGAACGACTGAACAGAAGAAAATCCAAGGATTAGCAATAGCTTGATCATATGCCTCAAGGAAGGTAAGGCCTCATCTACACTGCCATATAATCCAGTTTCTGAATTCAGATTATCTGCTTTGAACTGGATTATATGGCGGTGTAGACTCATATAATCCAATTCAAATCAGACAAGTTGGGATCGTAAACTGGATTTTATAGCAGTATAGATCCAGCCTAAGAGCTAAACTTTATTCTAGCCTTATGTAAAGCAATACGACAGGCATGAGATATCCACAGTGGTTTCTCCATGTCCACAAGCTTCTTCTACTCTTATCACACATGAGCTGTCAGAGAAAAGAGGTTGTTGAAAGACACTTTAATTTTTAATATCCTGCATGGAACTGTGCTGCTGTTGTGAGTGTGAGTTGTGTGCATTCAAGTTGTTTCCAACTTATCAAAGGGCTTTCTTGGGAAGATTTATTGAGAGGGGGTTTGCCTTTGCTTTCCTGAAGCTGAGTGCATGTGGCCCAATGGGTTTCCATGGGGTTTCAACTCTGATCTTCAGATCCTTTCAAACCACTATACCATACTGGCCTTACTGTGGCTTACAGGGCAGAAAACTGAACTAAACCAAGGTTTTACATTGGGTTTACCTCTGAGTAGACATGTATAAACTTGAGTATGTTTAGCTTGAAGAAAAGAATGTTAAGAAGGGACATGATAGCCATGTTTAAATATCTGAAAGGATATCATAGTGAAATGGGGAAAAGTGTGTTTCCTGATGCTTTCGTGATTTGTAATAACAGATCTGAACTAAATGAAAAGAGATTCCACTACTAACATTAGGCAAAACTTTCTGACAGTAAGAGCTGTTTGACAGTGGGATAGGCTGCTCTGGAGTGTGGTGGAGTGTACTTTTCTGGAAGTTTTAAAATGGAGGTTGGATGGCTATTTGTCAGGACTACTTTGCTTGTGTGTTCCTGCATGGCAGGAGGTTGAACTGGATGGTCCTTGTGTTCTCCTCCAATTTGATGATTCTAACACAGGTTTTGTATACTAAGTAGCATACAAAACCTACCTACTTAGCTTTGTCCCTGCCTACTCTGTCCCTGTCTCCACCTCATGTCCGTAGCCCTTCTCATTGTTGGCATGCAGGTCCCACATCCTTTCCAAATTGGAATTCAGCCCCTTCACTAATAAATGTTAACCACATCTATCACAGGAAGTGAAAAGTCCAGGAAGAACCTGAGGATATAGTTTTGAAGTTAATGTTCTGTAGTGTCCCAGTTTTGCCTAAGAAAAAAGCAATTCTTCTGGCTATCTTTCAACACAGGAATGATAGAAAGCTGCTAATTATATTCAGGTTACAGTTAAGGAAGTTTTAAAAAAACCCAAAATGCTTGTTTGCCATTGGCCTGATATGCATGGAAAGTCTACATCAGAATCTAGGTATTGTGCTCCCCAGTTACCATAAATCATAATATATATCTACCACTCTTACATTTGAAATGCAGAATATTAAATACCCATTACATATTGATTTTTCTATGCAAATAATTACATTGAAGTGATATGTGAGTGATTTTGGGCTTAAAATTACGAGATTACAAAAGTTAAGCATATTTAGCATGAAGTTGTCTAATCTAATAGCATTCTCTTTTCATGGCAGATTCTCCAGTGCCCAAGGCTCTGTGAAGACTGTCACTACAGTGTCGTCCCAGTGAAGCTTCCTACAGGCCACGGGCCAGTTCATGTCTAAATTGGATGATCAGATATAGCAATCCCAATGATCATGATGGTACTATTTATTGTCACAACCATGTGGACTCCACCTAACTTATTTAACTGGTAAATATATAATCTTGTTCAGCAACTCAAAATGAGTAGGTGCAGGGAAGACAACATTTAAATATACTTCACACCCTTTGATCATACATTTTTGTTTCCACGTGTAGCTGTTAAAGCATGGCCAATTGTCATAACCCAATCTCTCCTTTACAACCTTTACAACCTCATGTATTGTTCATGTGAGTACATCCCTGAAGGCAGACAAGAATCAATAGCTTATCATGACCATGACCATGAAGATCTCATATTAGCATCTTTGCAGACTATCATAGGGTAGAGGAATGGAGGATGGAGGAATATGCATCAGTCCAGCAATTTGGGCCTACAATTCCTACACACAGTATGGTCAAATGTGTCATCTGGAATGCTAAAGATTTCCCACCCTTAATACAGATTTTGTTCTAATAATATTTCCCGCCCTGATTGAGGATGAATGGATGAATACTATCACATTCACATGGATTTAAAGCTTATCCCATGACACTTAAAGCGTAATAGTGATTTAACTCCACTATAAGATAAGAAACTATGAAGTTACATGACAACTCTTCTTGCAAATCCATGTTATTGTATTTCTACCCAAGTTTTTCACCACTTTGAGACTCAAAGCAGTTACAAGTCAGATATAGATAAAACAAACTTCAGTAAAAAGTATAAAAATTAAAACTAGTTAAACTACTAACAAAGTTAAATTCTGTTTAAAAGCATAAACAATATAATACAAAAAAACAAAACAAAAGAAAGACAATTTAGCAATGGAAATGCTCGAAATCACACTGTTATTTGAATTGTTGTGGCCCATTTGGAAAGGAAGCCAACTGATATTTTGCTCCTACTTCACAACAGTTGCTCACCCCACTTGATAAAACTTTATCTTAAAGCATCTATCCAAGGTCACACAAGTACTGGAGAGGCATAGAAACTATGAGATTGTGCTGGGTCTAGTGCTCAGCTTAGTGATTTCACTGACTCTCTGTCCCAAATAGTTTACCCATGTTGCTAACTGTTCCTCAGATTCCACTGATTTTAAGAAAATTATGATATATCTGACAGCTTTACTCAAAAGTCCAAGCCAAATGAATTTTACATCATACCTTACATTGTTCATCCAGTTCCAGCACTCTCTTCTTTCTCATAGTAGTTTAAGTCTCACTCCTGAGTTACGGCAAAGAAAAACCACGAGGAAATAGTGGTTTCTTTTCTCTGGCAAAGGACAGAT